GTCATGTAGATGTGCAGTAAGCTTTCGGAATTTTGATTTTGCCCCAGGGGGTCAAATGGGGGTCGAAAATGACGTTTTTTAAACAAAAAGCTCCGTCTTCCCTGAACTCCTCTTACATTTTACTTAGCAGCCAAATCACCTTTTGGGGGATGGTTGTTGGTGTCATGTAGATGTGCAGTAAGGTTTCAGAATTTTGATTTTGCCCCGGGGGGTCAAATGGGGGTCGAAAAAATGACGTTTTTTGTGCAAAAAGTCCCGTCTTCCCTGAACTCCTTCTACATTTTACTCAGCAGCCAAATCACCTTTTTGGGGATGGTTGGTGGTGTCATGTAGATGTGCAGTAAGGTTTCGGAATTTTGATTTTTCCCCGGGGGGTCAAATGGGGGTCGAAAAATGACGTTTTTTATGTAAAAAGCCCCATCTACCCTGAACTCCTCTTACATTTTACTTAGCAGCCTAATCATCTTTTGTGGGATGATAAGTGGTGACATGTAGATGTGCAGTAAGGTTTTGGAATTTAGATTTTGCCCCGGGGGGTCAAATGGGGGTCGAAAAATGACGTTTTTTGTGCAAAAAGTCCCGTCTTCCCTGAACTCCTCTTACATTTTACTCAGCAGCCTAATCATCTTTTGGGAGATGGTTGGTGGGGTCATGTAGATGTGCAGTAAGGTTTTGGAATTTTGATTTTGCCCCGGGGGGTCAAATGTGGGTTGAAAAATGACGTTTTTTGTGCAAAAAGCCCTGTCTTCCTTGAAGTCTTCCTTAATGTTACTCAGAAGCCTAATCATCTTTTAGGAGAGTTAAATATTTTTAAAATTATTAAAACATCAACGTCAAGGGGTAACAAGATGTGTTTGTGAAACACTATGCGCCCGGCGTCAACAAAGTTCAAAAAAGCTATTTTTAGCATATAGTTCACAGTCAAGGTCACAAGGTCATTGACCTTGGTGTTATTTGTAAGAACTTAATTAGTGGGGTATGCATACTAAATATGAAGTTCCTATCTCCTATAGTTCAAAAGTTATGGCAAAAAGTAGAAAAAGCTATTTTTAGTATAAAGGTCACAGTTAACTTCACATGGTCATTGACCTTGATGTTGTTTGAAAGAACTTTATTAGTGGAGTATGCATACTAAATATGAAGTCCTTATCTCTTATGGTTCAAAAGTTATGGCAAAAAGTGGAAAAAGCTATTTTTAGCATATAGGTCACAGTCAAGGTCATTGACCTTGATGTCATTTGAAGGAACCTAATTAGTGCAGTATGCATACCAAATATGAAGTCTCTATCTTCTATGGTTCAAAGGTTATGGCAAAAAGTGGAAAAAGCTATTTTAAGTATAAAGGTCACAGTCAAGGTCACATGGTCATTGAACTTAGTGTTGTTTGAAAGAACCTTTTTAGTGGAGTATGCATACCAAATATGCTATGGTTCAAAAGTTATAACAAAGTTGAAAAACCTATTTTTAGCATATAGGTCACAGTCAAGGTCACAAGGTCATTGATTTTGATGTCATTTGAAAGAACTTTATTAGAGGAGTATGCATACTAATTATGAAGTCTCTATTTCTTACGGTTCAAAAGTTATGACAAACAGTTGAAAAACCTATTTTTAGCATATAGGTCACAGTCAACGTCACAAGGTCATTGACCTTGATGTCATTTGAAAGAACTTTATTAGAGGAGTATGCATACCAAATATGAAGTCTCTATCTCTTACGGTTCAAAAGTTTTGGCCAAGGTTAAAGTTGACAACAGACAAACAGATAAACAGACAAACAGACAGGACAAAAACAATATGCGCCCCGAAAAAATTCAGGCGCATAAAAAAACATTGCATGCTGGGAAACACCTTGAATTCTTATGAGTAATTTATGTACATGTCAAATGTGAGAGTCATATCTCATCTCAATCAAAAGTTATAAGCAAATGCAACATTTTTGAAAAGTAGGTTAGGCTTGATCACTTCAAGGTCAAGGTCACAGTGTAAAAGTCATGATTTATTTGGAAAGGTCTTATCACAGGTAAATATACATGTACATGCATTATGATATGAATGCCCTAACTTTTCTCTTTCAAAATGATGAATTTATAACAATTTAATTTTTTTGCAAGTTGGTCAAACTTCTAGGTCACATGTAAAAAAAAAAAACCATGCCATTCTCACAGGTAAATATACTAATACATAAGTTTAATATGAATGTCTCTTCTCATTCAGTAGATATGACCGTGATAACCAAGGTTAAATTTATTGAGACAGATGGACTGAGTCTGACATACAAATGTACATATTTCTATATGAATTAGGTAAAATTGGCCCAGGCAGTGGTTCTAGAGAAGTTAAAAATGTAAAAAGTTTTCAGACAAACAGATGGACAACATGTCACGACAGACATTATATGCTAAGGAAACCAAAAAAGCTCAAATGAGTGTTTTGAAAGGGTTACAATATGGTTGGAGTATTTGAAAAGCTGTTTTTTTCCTGCAGAGATATGCATGACCAACATATTCATGTTTTATATTTTCTTTAGTGATTTGTTTGTTTATTGTGAATACATCTTCCCTCATATGGAGACACCACCAAATAATAATGAAGATAAGATGTGTTTGTGAAACACTGATGTCCCAGTATGGAAGCCTACGGCGAAGGTTGAAGTTTCTCAAATATATGTCAAAATCAAAGGTCAAGGTCAAAGGGTTCAAATTGTTAGTATCAGAAGAAAGTCTTCTCACAAGGAATGCACATGTGAAATAAAGAAATCCCTAGTAATTCCTGTTCAAAAGTTAATTGCCAAGGTTAATTTTTTTGTTTAAGTGGTTCAAACTCTAGGGTCAAGGTCAAACATATTTATACCTGTTGACAGTTCACAATGAATACAATATGCCATGATAAGTATGAAAGCCCTAGCACCTACTGATCAAAATTAAGGCAGAGTTTATAGTTTGGTATTTTTCTTGTAAAAATGTGTATCCCATGTCAAGCAATCAGAGGTAAAAATTAATGGTACCCAAATAAAAGGTCTTATTAAATTGTCACAAGAAATAAACCTATAAAATGTGGAAGCTATTTGTATAGCCCATCCCACTTAAAACTTATGGGCAAGCTAGCTAGGATTTAATTTCTGCAGACTTATAGACAGACATACTATAAACACAAGAACAAAATATGTATAATAATTAGTCAAATGGAAAAAAATATACTATTTAACTGGAATAACAAAATACATTGTTATTTCAAGGACAGGAAGTGGGTAAGAAGATTGGAATCCCCCCCCCCCATCTGGCATTTGCTTTGTTATTTAAACAAGACTATATACTGTAGCAAGTAAAAAATGACTCTTGACATCCTCTCCCTATAAACTTAGAAAACATTGACCTCACTATCATTGTTTTTTTTTTTGTTTATTTGTTTTCATTTTTTTTTTCTCTTGTCACGAAATTCTGGGCTGGAATTTTTTGACTGAGATGTGAACCCCCCTCCCTACTCCCGAAAAAAATTCTGGATCCGCACCAGTATTGGCAGTAACTGAATGTCACATCGACAACGGGAGATAACTTCACAATATGAAATTCGTCTAGTGTGGCATGCGATGATCTTTCACCCTTTTAAAACTTTAACCTAATAGTTTGGGTGTATTTTACCCCCCACTATACTAAAACTTCTACTTACCGACTCCCTGTGTCTCAACTTCATGAAATATAAATCCAATTATAACTCAAAATGAATTAATCCAATGCACACCAGACTGCAGCCACGTGCCATTTTGGCAAACCTTCGTCGATTCCATCACCTTATCAGATGAAGTGGGAATCGGCCGAGGTGTGCCAAATGGTGTTTAATCTATAAAGATGATAATGGGTGACGCAACGTGATGTGATGTAGAAATTTACATGTTCACATGTATAGTACAAGAACAAATTTTAAATTAATTCATAACAAACGATATTAAATTTTAACAAACCTTTTCCATCTAGCCTATTCCAAAAAGTATGTGCTGTGTGATTGTTGTCGAGGGGTGGGGGGGGGGGGGTTAGTAAATTTAAAAAGGTCCTATTAATATTATGAGCAAAACATATAACAAAATCTAATTTCAGACGCGGATCCAGAATTTTTTTCCGGGGGGGGGGTGGGGGGGGGGGGGGGGGGGGTCCTCCTCAGTCAAAAAAAAATCCTATCCCAGAAATTGACAATCAAAAAAAAAACCTAAAGTAAATCTCACCCAAACGTCAAAAACCTATATCGTGGGGGTGGGGTGGGAGTAGTGGTGACTTCTATTGCCGCAAATGTTTAACTTTTCATACTTATTTTACACATATTCGTGTTTACCAGTGGGGGGATCTGCATTTTCCAAGGGGGGTCCATTGTAACTTTTTCCTTGTTTTAGTATATACATTTTTTAACCTTGTAAATTCCAGGGGGGGGGGGGGGGGTCCAGACCCCCCCCCCCCTACACATCCGTGCATGAATTTACATCATTAATAAAATTCAGACTGGTATATAATGAATTAAACATGTATAAAATAAATATAAGAGGTTCTGAGTTATAGGTCACAGGGTCTGAGAATTTCATACTCAATTTGATGAATACATGTAAATTATAGAATTATTTTGACTATTTCTTTGGAAAGCCGCCCAATATGTAGGAGCGTGTATTTAGAGGCAAACACCTTAGTGCGGGTATTACTGTCTCATGACAGCATCTAGTTTAATTTTTTTCCCCAAGTGATTTATGTTGTAAGTAAAAAAATATATCGAAATTGACAGAATGTGCTTAATGAAGTTTGGCGCATGTATATAAATCCCCAAGGATTTAATTTAATCAAAAATCATTTTATTTCAATGGAATATATTGCAGTAGATAAAAAAATCAAATCTATAATATATAATGAAAATGAATTATTTGGCCTCTAGTGCCCCCATCATGTCCATACCGGTTCTTTGGGTCCGTTCGATGCTCCACCACATCATGTCCATATTGGCTCTTTTTGGTCCGTTCGATGCTCACCACATCATGTTAATACTGGCTCTTTGGGTCCGTTCAATGCCCAACCCCATCATGTCCATACTGGCTCTTTGGGTCCGATCGATGCTCCCGTCATTGAATTCGTACTCGTCTACTCCCATCAGCAGCCTCACTTCTCTCTGTTTGGCAATTTCTGGGAGTTCCGTTAATTCTCTGATGCCTTCTCGTCCAGTCGGGTGGTATTCCGGAAACGTGGAGACCCCCTGACTTGGCCAGTGAGTGGTCATTAAAAGATGTTCATATGCTTCTCTTTTGATTTTGATATCGGATTGTTTTGCCCATTTTGCAGGCGTCATACAAACAAATACCACGTGACGCCACCTATCAGAACGAGGTCGACCCTCTACTGGTCTTGCATTGTCGTGAACCAGTCTAGAATCCCAGAGCACCATGCCACCTCTGGGTACAGGCACTGTTGTCGCCGGACATCCGCGGTCTTTATACCAGTCAATTTCTTCTTGCGTTAGTTCATAATATTCAAATGCGCTTGACTGTCTGGCTGCCAGTGAAAAATTGTCGTA